ATTCTAATTAGATTAAAATTTTATTAAAAACAAATACTCAGAAAGCAGACCGTCACGATAATTTGTATATGCGTTGGTGCATTCAATGTCACCTGACCAATTATATATTTGGACCAATCGATCCGTATGTGTGTACGCAAGTGCTTCATACTTTGTAAAAAGAAAGAAACATGGCAGACGCCGGAGATTGGTGCCTCATTGAAAGTGATCCAGGTAATTTGATTAAAAGCCGAGTTCATTGATGTGCTATGAATATCAATAACCTTAGTAAATTGATTTTTATAGGTGTTTTCACCGAATTAATAAAGAAATTTAATGTTGGCGGCACGCAAGTCGAAGAAGTATGGAGTCTGGACGCTCAGACTATGGAAGAACTAAAGCATGTGTTTCAAGCTTGGCAGTTTTACAAGTTGACTTCTAATGAATCAAAACTTATTTCGACTAATATATGATCAAATTAAATTAAATCGCATTAAGACCTGTATATGGTTTAATTTTTCTTTTCAAATGGCAAGGCAATAGTGGAAGTTCCGGATCACACCCGGATGCAGATTTAAGCATTGATGATACTGTTTATTTTGCAAAACAAGTAAGTAGATATTTGTTCTGCCATTTATTTTTTTCATTCGATCTTTTTTTTTTGTTTTTTTTTTTTTTAATAGTTCAATACTCTCGATAGGTAGTTAATAATGCATGTGCTACTCAAGCGATATTATCCATCTTACTCAACTGTCCATCGATTGATTTGGGTCCAGATCTACAACAGTTCAAAGAGTTCACAAAGGAATTTGATCCATATGTAAGTTAATTACCAATTTCTGGCTTCATAGTTATATTATTGAATGCGTTTATGGTTAAAATGGTTTTTCTTATCACATCGTTCAACGACATATAGTACAAGGGTTTAGCAATTACCAACAGTGATCTTCTTCGTTCCGTCCATAACAGCTTTTCTCGATCTGATCCGTTCATTATAGATTCATCTGAATCATCCTCGACTGAAAAAGAAGACATCTTTCATTTTATCTCATATGTTCCTGTACACGGTGCTCTTTACGAGTTAGACGGCCTTAGTAACGGCCCTGTAAATTTAGGTAAAATAAGTTTTCAATGTGTATATGTGTTTAATTTCTTTAACCTTGCCTTATTTTGAATTATAGGCCCATGTACTGATGATGACTGGCTAGAAAAAGTTCGTCCCGTAATACAAGAACGTATGGCACGATATGCCTCAGCTGAAATTCGATTTAATTTATTAGCCCTTATCAAAAATCGTGAAGATGTGTATAGAATG